TCTCTCTCTCTCTCTCTCTCTCTCTCTCTCTCTCTTTCTTTTTCTTTCTCTTTCTCTCTACGTATCCCTCTCTCCTCCCCTTTTCTCCTTCTCTTTTTTTCTGAATTTTCAATCTGTTGTTTTTTTAATTCCTCAATTGTGCTCCGACTTCGAAGTTGGTTTGAGGATATTCTTTATTACCCTTTGATTTTTTTAATTTTTTTTCTTAAGTCTATCTGAGTTTATGCGAGCGGTCAGTGTGAGGTCACTCACTACATCTCTTATCGGTGCGGGCTTAGCCCGCACCGCCCACACCGCCCACACCGCCCACACCGCCCACACCGCCCACACCGCCCACACCGCCCACACCTCGGGCGCTTAATGGCGGACAACTTCGTTAGTCAAGATGAGAAATTGGGGAGGGTTTGGTGACCGAGAGCATAGCTTCATCCAATCTGGTGCAGCCATTTCGGGCCTGGTTTCGAAATTGCCTCGCCGTCCACTGGTAACGAAACTTGAGGCATCGCTAGGTGGGCTCCACTGGGTTCCATGGTGCTCTCTCCACAGGTCCCAGTAGCTGGTCTCCACAGGGCTCCGTGGCCCGGTTCGTCCTCATCTGGGCCCAAGGGCAGCAACACTTTTTGTGTTGTTTGTGCCTCATACGAAGGGGCTGATCCGACACCGTATTTTCACCAAAAAAATTGAAAAAGTTCCTTGGGACCCACAGACCCGACATTCAGCGCATAAAAGAAAATTTGGGACCCACAGACCCGACATTTTGTTGGCTTTTCCTTCACATACGCCGACATGGGCTGCACTGCAATGCAAACAGTCAATGGTGGACTAACGAAAAGCCAGAAAAAATAAAATAAAAGCCGCCTACTTTCAGGGGAAGGAGTAGGGGGTCGGGCGCTTTTGGAAATTCCTTCACCCAACCCGGCAAATTCCTTCCCGTGCTGGCACGCAGGAGGTTGAGAGAAGAAACAGCCTGTTTAATCTCAAAGCTTGCTCACCGCGGAAACATGTGGGATCCATTTTTTTCCCAGAAAGTACCTCTACTACGAGTTGTCGGGTCAGACCTGAACTACAGCCGTGGTACGCCTGGGCGACCTGGCATCTGAAGTTTTTTTTGCCTATTTGAACTTTGACAATGTTGATGTTGCGACGCGTTTTTCTTGCCTATTTTGAACTGAAGTTGTGACCCAAGTGTAGTTTCCACAAAATTGCTTGTTTGAAGTCATCTGAATCTAACTTATCAATTTTGGCTTTTTTTTCCTCCTAACAGTTGATCAAATTCTGACAGTGATCTCTCCTCTTTTTTGTTTTATTGTCTTTTCTATTGTTTATGCTTATGTGTCTGCAGGCATTATTGTAAGCTTATTGAGTGCTCTGATATCCTTAATACAGGAAAATGGCAATATGGTGATTCTTACTTTGGGTGGCAATGAGGAAAAAAATACAAAAGCTATGGATCATAGTTGCGGTGCACTGCTACGGTGCGCAGTCCGGCGGGGTGCTGTGCGCCATAACCGAGAGAGTGGTGCACGTGCACTCGCGGAAACGTGGTGCACGTGCACGTAGCGTGCGTGTGTGGGTGGGTGTGGGGTGGAGTGTGTGTGTGTGAGAGAGAGGGAGAGAGGGAGAGAGCGAGCGAGCGAGCAAGCGAGAGAGAGAGAGGAGGGGGGAGAGAGAGAGAGAGAGAGAGAGAGAG